TCCCAATATTTATATTTCTCGCCAAACATCCCCTGAAATGCAGAATTTATCAGGATTTCGAGGTGTTGAAGAAAAAAAAATGTGCACACGTGAGGCTAGAAGTGCAATGGGACGGCGAGGAGGAGTGGAGAGAGACGAGGTCAGGTCGATCGCTCGTCGAGAGTGCCGGGGAGACCTTGACTCAGTGGTGACGTCCAGGGCGCATGCGCCCTTGTCGAATAATACGACACAGAGGACAGTATCCTCCTGTCTCGTTCCCTCTCTCCACTCAGCCCCTCACCCTCGTCCTTCTCTCACTCGTCGTGCATCGTATTTTCCCATCGTCTACCGTATCTACTACTGTTTCACTTCCACCGCGGCGTTGTACTACTGCTACGTCACTGTCTTTACACTCCACCCCCACCACCCTCCTCTCCTCCCACCCCTCCCAGCGGTAACTGACGTGGGAGGAGGCGGAGGGGATGGAGAAACCCACGACCACCAAATTCAGTAGACAATTAATTTATGCGATAAAATTTCGTTATGTTTTTTTAAATTCTCGTTAAAAGTTTTTTTTTAAGCAGACCCTTCAGTTTGACCCATTGAATTTGACCTTTAATATTTCACCCTCGAATCCCTTCAGTTCATTAAAAGTTGTGAGCAACTGTTCATTTATAACTTCATTTAGCAAGTCGTATGACATTTTGAAAGTTGAAGTTTTTTTTTTTTTTTTTTTATTGATCTCTCAATTCAATTTACACCCTTAAACTGTCGTATTTACGGGCACAGAGGATCCTTGACACGTCAGAATGTAGCATGACACGTGTCAAATTAAAAATAGAAACATGATGCAAAAAATATAATAGATTGATAAGGCCTGGAGGGGGAGGGTGCAGTAGAGAATTAATCAACTCCGTAGTAAATAATTAACTTGGACAATTACCTTGTGCGGTAAAAATACGTTATATATTTTTGTAATTTTTTTTTTAATAGAACCTTTAGCTTGTTGTTCAGTAACTTTATTTATCAACTCGATTGACATATTTTGAAGGTTAAAATTATAATTGATCTCTCAATTCCATTTGCAGTCAAAAACTGCTATATTTGGTGAGTTTTTTTTTTGAGAACCGTTAGCTTGACCCTTTGAATGTGCCCTTCAATGTTTAACCCTCAAATTTATTTAATTCATTAAAAATTATGACCCGACAACTTTATCTATTAACTCGACTGATATACTTTGAAGGTTAAAATTATGATTGATCTCTCAATTCAATTTTCACCCTTAAACTCTCGTATCCTGGGGCGCAGTGGATCCTTGAGGACACGTCAGAGTGCAGCATAACACGTGTCAAATTGGGAATTTAAAAAATGATGAAAAAAATATAACCGATTGAAAAGGCCGCGAGGAAGGGGGGGGGGAGCAGCGGGAGATGGAGATATTTCGGCCTCTCTCCCTATTTTTCTTCTTTTTCGGCGAGTCTCCGGTATATCCAGAGAGAATTCCCCCGATAAATTTTCAATGTGACGCCTGACCTTTTCATATCAACCCAACTCACCTCCCGAAACTACATACGTTATGATTATTGATTCAGCAATTGCATGAGTAGCAAAGGTCTGACATATTTGGGAGGAGAGGATAATTTCTTGATTTCATTTATTCCACATCACGAGGCACTCATCACCAAATGAAAATAATCTTAATAATTTCTCTCATAAAGTGAAAAACTCTTGCCAAATTGATCTCAAAATAGAGTTTTAGAACGAAATTTTATCAGATTAATTGACTCAATTTCATTGTTTAGAATTTTATTACAAAAAATTCAATCATTAAACTTTCTAATCTTCTTTTTCAAACTCTGAACTACAGAAACATGCAATAAAATTCTCCCTCTATCTGACATGTACCAGGAAGTGAGAAGTTTCACATCAACTTTGGAAATTGCAGTGGGCAGTTGCCAGCGAGAAATAAAACTTGGTCAATATAATTTTGTAAAATCTCTTCTACAACTACAGTTTTTCCTCCTCACGATAGACACGAGGGTGCTAAGAATACTGTTTTTTACTTTTTTTTCCCAAGCAAAACGAACGAATTTCATTTCTTTTTTTCAACTTTTGATAATATTTACAATACGTCCAGTGTGGCTTTCGTAATTTTTTTTTTGCAATATAATGTATTTTTTACGGCTCCGAATGGATTTTGTCCTGCAGTCTTTTTCCAATAAAGATAATGATAAGGGGAAAAAAAATATCTGAAGTTGAATTTCCCACGCAATGCTGTCATTAATGCATTCTGACAATTCTGATAGAGCCCTCAAATGTTACCAGCGATTGGAATAATACTCACACGACACAGCCACTTATTGCCACTATCTATTTCCGTATCAGCTTGTCTCCTCTCTAAGACAAAATCCGTTTACATTATTCCCTACCTCTCCCTGTACGTATTACGATCACGCAACGCCTCAAACTGTACAGTTTATTCCCGTGTGAATTTCCATTCTCGTGCGTTTATCCTTGCTCCTGTTTTGGCCAATTCTCTTCTTCTCACTATCGTGTTATATTCAGGCGAGGTCGAAACTTCATCGGGTTGTTTCGTGTCCTTCGTACAATTACCCTAGTCACGTACATTATGATGCCTTTTTTCCCGGTATTTTATAGAGGATTATTTCCCAGCCAATGATTTATTTCGAGAAATTACCCCATCACCTCTTGGAAAAAAAAAGCTCCCAAAATTTATCGTTAAATTGACGAAAAAGATCCATTTCTCCTCATTATACATTCGAAAATAATTTTGTCATCATTGACCCTCAGTTAACCCATGCGATTTGACCCTCAAATTTCTCCACCAACCAAATGGGGTCATTTTCAACCCCTCCCACTCAGCCATCAAGACACTTAACCTAAACCTCCCCCTTAATTACCACAAAAACTAATTATTCTCCCCTGAGAGACCCCAAATGCCAAAAACTTGTTGGACATATCGAAACAACTGTTGAAAAAATCGCGATGCATTTATTATTTTCAGGCTATATTATTAGCATTGGGTAAAGGCCACGTGAAAAGTGCTTTTCGGGGAAATGCAGGTCGAATAGGCTGTTTTTCTCTACTGCCTTAACGATCTCAGGGCTGCAGCTATGTGCCAGTAACACGCGAGACGACTCCCTCCTCCCCTCTACCCGTGCACCCCTTTCAGTAAGAAAAGGGGGCTAGGAGGAGGGGGGAGGGCTAGTTGATCGATGTTGAAGCGGGCAAAACTTCGAAGCAGTCGATATATCGCAACGGGTGAATCCCCCCCTTGGGCAATACCTGGGAATGATCGTTATCCAGAGGTACGGGGGGCGATTGAGAAACGGCGNGGGGGGGGGGGGGGGGGGGGGGGGGGGGGGGGGGGGGGGGGGGGGGGGTATGGAGGTGATGCACAGAGAAGAGAAAAGGCAAGGTGGTGGGGAGGAGTGAATCCATGGCCATCCGGTGAAACCCCCAGGATCGTTATCCACTTGGGAATACCAACGGATCTTTGGGAGTTTTGGTCGTTAATACGAGGGTTACCTCGGGAATAGCATGAGTTTGATTCGAGAATAGTTGGGGGAAGGGGGTGAGGGGGTGATTACGGGGTCATTTAATGATCATTGTGGTGATTGAAAAGAAAAAAATTGAAGTGAATTACGGACGAGTGGAGGTAACTGTGAGACGAATTGAGGGAAGTGGATGTGATCGGTTTGAATAACGAGGGTAATGGGAGGAATTGTCTTCGGAGGTGCATTTTTCATATCGGCTTTATGTATTTTGAAGGAAAATAATGGGTTGGAGGGGTTTCTTTGGTTACATCAGTCGTATTTTATTATTCATTAAATATCAATTTGACGAAATAATGATCTCTGTTAAAACGATTGCGATTGTTATCCGCATGGGAATATCAACTGATCTTTGGGAGTTTTGGTCGTTAATGCGAGGGTTGCATCGAGAATAGCATGAGATTGATTCGAGAATTGCTGGCGGAGGGGGTCAGGGGTTGATTACTGGGTTATTTAATGATCATTGTAGTGATTGAAGAGAAAAAAATTGAAGTGAATTACGGACGAGTGGAGGTAACTGTGAGACGAATTGAGGCAAGTGGATGTGATCGGTTTGAATAACGAGGGTGATGGGAGGAATTGTCTTCGGAGGTGCATTTTTCATATCGTTTTTCTGTATTTCGAAGGAAAATAATTGGTTACAGGGGTTTCTTTGGTTACAGCAATTGTATTTAATTATTCATCAACTCTTAATGTGACCAAATAATGATTTCTGTGCAAAACGTTTCAGTTGGCAATCTCCGAATGATCTCATATGGTCAGAACCCATTTTAACCCGCAGAAAATCTGACCATTAGCTGTTTTTTTTTTCATCCTAACATGAACTACTTACACCCTCACAATTTTTTTCTCACCACTTGATATCGTAAACTCCTTTAGTTATCCCAGCAGTATCGCTTCCAGCCCAGTTGAAGTGAAATTACCATGCAAAAACAGCTGAGTTCACCGGCTGACCATACCCTTCACATGAGATTACAAAATAGGATAATGCATTCTCGTTTAAACTTCACTCAACCCTCTCTGCCCTATCCACCTGCTTTCCACCCTCCTAGGATTCTCGGATCGATTTGCTGCATAATTCAATCTGAAATTAAGGCAGCGGGGGAGGAGTACTACCAGCTGGAGTATACACCAAATGTAAACCACGCTCTGGCTATTCGTGGCTCGTTTAAATGTATTATTCAGACCGTCCTTGACGGGGGCTCTAGGGGTGTCAGATCAGATGGAGAAATGGTGTGAGATGACGAGTTGAAGGGGAAACAAGAGACGAAGTTAATCGAGTTCCGAATGAAGTTTGTGTCGGCACGTCTGTCCTCCCGCTGTGTATTTTCCGTAATAAATCTAAATGATAATTCTCCATTATATCTGACAACTCGTGAATTGAGATTAATAAGATTTATCATTTGTGTCTTGATTAATTTTCATTTTCATTTGTGGTTGTTTCAGAAATAAGGAAAGATGTGAAGGAAATAGAGGTGCGCAGATGCCCAACAAGGCACGGCCTCGTCGTGAGTGGTCACCAAAATCCCCCATAGATGTTTTGTAAGTACAACATTAATAATAAACTTTAATGAGAAAAGTATATTTGAGGCTGTGAAAGGCGTTGAATCAAGTTAGTCGGGCAACTTCTTATAATTCTCTCGTGCAATGGAATTTAATAATTATCCTCGGGCTTGTGCAGTTGAACAGAAACACTTGGATCCGCTAATCAAGCGTACCCCCAAGGCCACAGTCTCAGCAGTAGAGACGGAAAACCGTAACACAGATACAGACGCTCGGCACTGCTGTAATTAACTAATTAAAGTTTCCGCATACGTGGTCGCAAAACGGCACGATTTCACCTCGAGGATAGCAAGCTCACTCAGTTCCAAGTTGCTTCAATTTCGTTTTTCTGAATGTAGATATTAGTCAGAGTCACGAAGTTCATTTTCATTTCTTACTTGACGATAAATTCCATCAGTTACAGTTGAATAATACCAGTTTTGGGGGGGGGGGAGTCGTAAAGCTGATTAGATGTGAAAAAAAGTGAAAATATAACTCATACCAAATAGCCGGATCAATGTCTCAATTTCCTACTGGTCAGAACGTCCAATACGTTTCCCAGTCACGAACCATAATTTTCCGGTAATTCATTTTTTTTTCTTTTTCGTTTCCTATCATCTTCCATACGAAGGAACTTTCCGGTTATCCACAGAATTGCCATCGTTCCAAAAATTTAAAACCATTTGGAACAAAAATGCAGGATGATTTGCCTCTCCCTCACGGATGAAATTGCTCGGGTGGAGATCGAATCGGCCCAGGTTTCTCCTGCAATTGGCTTCGATTCCTTTTTACCTTTCCCCCTCCTTCTGTTTCTCATTTTACCGGAATAAAGAGGTTAAAAAAGAAAGGGGATCGTGTCTTGATGTTGAAAGTTGAACCGACAAAACCACGAGCCCTCAAAGACTCGAATATTCATTCGGGCGTGTTGAACAAAAACTTGGTGATGTGCCAAAAAGCCAGTCAGGGAGATACTTGGCACTAAATTTTCTATTGGCTTGTGGCTTATACCCGTCAAAATGGATATTAACCCTCTTAAATATACATATTTATCCGGATTACCTTGATTTGGTAAAAGCAACAATTGTGAGCGATCCAGATATCTGGTGTTGAATAGTAGAAAGCGTTCCAACAGAATATTTTCATTCCATAAGATTGAAAACTTTCACGAGGAACCCAATTTGTCATTATTTGGCGGTTACATCGGTCATAAAAAACTATTCACAATATATGAATAGTAAAATATGAAATGTTACAAGTTGCCTTGCTGGAAAAATTCATTTCGCTTATTCAACCCATCAGCGTTGAAAATATATATATGAGAGAATTCTCTAGTTAATATACGCCAAATTGTTAACACTGAAAATGACACTAAAATCGTGATCCATGGAAATGCGCGATATTTTAGATCGAAATGCTTTCGAGCACCGAATTTCCATTCAATATAATCAAAAGCTTTCAAAAGGAATTCAATTTTTGATCATCCGGTGGTTAAATCCGTCGCATTTACCTGTTCACGATAGCGAAATATGAAAAATTGATATTTTACAATTAGAATTGTCAGCAGAATTTGACGAGAATTGCTGAAAGGTCCTCCATTACCCCCAATTTGCAAACTACTCCAGCACATTTGAAATATATGCGGAGTGAGTGATTCAGGACACCCGATGCAAACTTTCTTACTATCCATCTGACCCTCTTGTTATGCTCACCCTAAAATAGGACTTGCATCTACTCCAGAAAACCCCCTCATCGTGTAACTCCCTCAACAACTTTGAAGTACCCTCCATAAAGCCCACCGCCATCTTGGTAACCAGTATTTCACCCGATACTAATTAAGGTATTCTAATCGCTGACAACATATTCCATTAACAATTCACTTCAATTCGGTAGCCCATCCTAGCGTAATTTCTGCCTGTTTAAAAGCCCTCTGTAATATTTAAAACGATTTCATCAGGCCACCGGAGATGTGAAATTCATCATGCGGTTTGCAGTTTTAGTTGAATTAACATGGCTTCTATCGTATCTGCGGTTGGAATAGACTGCATTTACAATTCACGGCTTCAGAAGTCATACACGTGTAGCTGACAATAGCCTTTCGGAAAAAGAAAAAATTAATTGCTCCAAACTTCGAAGAGAGGCCATTGCTGTTAATCAATACTAGAATTTTTATCGGACAAACTTTCACAAGAACATTTGACCCATGAATATCTTAGCAGCGATCCCACTAAAATCAGTTGCCCAGCAGTATATGGACTTGGAAATGTCCTCTACTCCCCCAATGGACCAACTTTCGCCTCCATCCGACTTGAAATCGGAAACTTCCGAAACATCAATTTAATCATTCATGCTGATGTATCAGTGCGATTGGTTGATAAAAAATGAATGTCATTTTTTTTTTTTAAAGGTGGATGCCCCGCTCCGCCATGAGGCCGGCCGAGGGCGACACGTCGGACTGTATCCTGGTAGTCGGCGTGTCACGTCCAAAAATGGCCGCTGCATTTCTATCAGTCGCACTAGTATCACTCTTCCTGACATTCCACATACTCTACGACAGTGCCATCTACAGTCTCCATGCAGCAACTGTTATTGAAACAATGGATGATGTTACAAATGATCTTGATAATCATCAGCACGAACAATTACCAACGATTTTAATATCCAATAAAGTACATTTTTCACGTACTAATCGTCATTTACCACAAGCTATAATCGTTGGTGTACGTAAATGTGGTACACGAGCACTTCTAGAGATGTTATTCCTCCATCCGCAGATACAAAAAGCAGCTGGTGAAGTGCATTTCTTTGATCGTGATGATAATTATGAAAAAGGGCTTGAGTGGTACAGAAAAAAAATGCCGTACTCATTCAAAGGACAGCTAACCATCGAGAAGAGCCCTAGTTACTTCGTTACGCCTGAGGTGAGTTGTTGAAATAAATGGTTATTCATGAATAAATTAGTTTATTTCATGTATTGAGAGGAACAAATCTTTACCATTTACTTTATTCTATATAACATTCATTATGAGAGTCAAACGCGTTCAATCTAAATGTTTCGCAAAAGGCGACAATTGTCGATTTTGAACAATGCAAATGTCTGTTATCGCATACCAGGCAATCTTCAAATACCCATTTTTCATTTCATATCATCGAAAGCTTCTAAGAAAAAACACATTTTTTATCGCTGATCGGTTACAGACATCACAGTTAACTGTTCACGACTAATGAATATGAAAGAATTTTAAAAGTATCTAGTTTTGAATCTAATCATGAAGTTCATGAACTCCATTTTCAAACCTTTTGCCGTCTGATCACTCACGTCAGCATCACGTGACCATCAAATGTTCAAATCACGTAGTTTCCACATTCAAACTGAAAACGTATCCTCCTTTATAAAAAAAAAAAGGTACCGGAGCGTATTCGTGCGATGAATTCAAGTGTCAAACTACTGCTGATCGTACGTGAACCAGTGACACGTGCGATATCAGACTATACCCAGCTGCGTACACACGCCGCAGCAGCGGCATCAACAGCAACAACGACAGTTGAGGGTAGTCAAAAGCCACCATCACAACCGCAACGTAGTTTCGAGGAACTTGTCATACGTCCTGATGGCACTATCAATGAGTCATATCGTCCAATAGCAATATCCCTTTATCATAATTATATGCATCGATGGTTAGAAGTATTTTCACGCGAGCAAATACTTGTTGTTAATGGTGATCAATTGATTGAAGATCCTGTACCGCAGTTGCGTAGAATTGAGAATTTTCTTGGTATTGAGCCAAAAATTGGTAGACACAATTTTTATTTCAATCATACCAAGGGTTTCTACTGTCTAAGAAATGAGACATCGGAAAAGTGTCTCAGAGAGAGTAAAGGCAGAAGGCATCCACGTGTTAGTCCAATTGTCGTCACCAAATTGAGAAAATTCTTTAATGAACATAATCAGAGGTTCTATGAACTAGTGGGTGAGGATCTTGGGTGGCCGGAGGAGTAGGAATATGAAGGAGAGATGGAGGCTGGTGGATCACATTGGTCCTTGACTCGATAGGAACTGATACATATCATAGGGTTAATAGTTGGATATTAAGAGATTTAATATTTTTATAAAGTCCACATTGGAAGTTGTTATATATCGTTAATTGATGGTTTTTTTTTATTGTGTGAGTGAGGGAGAAGGGGTTCATTCAATTGACGCATAACACGCTTCTCCAGTTATCATGGTTTATTTTTAATTTAGCTGCACAATTGATTATTGGCCAGTTTTGCCAAGTAATGATGGCACTGACACCCATTCGTGTTGGTCGATAGTAAAGGGCCATCGATTGTATGTCAACTTAGTGGAGGAGTGAAATTCTCGTTGACCACTGCTCGTCAAACATCTTCCATGTCTAACTATCGATGGGCTCTGCCCACCGTTTGATAGATACGTGTCGACAAATTTTGTACACAAAGGAGTGAGCTTGACGCCTCTGTTAGTGACTACACTAGGGGGTTGACAAACAAACTCCCGTGTGTTGAAGGATTTCATTTGTCGCGTCGCCAAAGATTTGTTGCTTTATTTATCAGGACTTGGCAAGCAACACACCACCACGTTCCAAATTTTCGGGAATGATTTCTGATCAGAAGTTATTGAAGAAGCCAGAAAGCAAGTTTTTCTCATGTGGAAATAATTTCTACCTTCATCAGAAACGAAGATCTAACATATTCACATTTAAAATGAGTTGTTTTAAAGCCAAATGCGTCAATTGCATGTTTATACTTCTCCATGAATAAATTTTCGATGATATTCTGTATTCAAAATGTTAACCTCAAAGGGGCTTCGCTCTTCAAATGAATTAACGAGAAACCCCTGGGCTGGAATCTGTAACCATTTTCAAAATATACAGGTATAGTTGAACCTTGTGAGACAGGTTTGAATATATAGACTGTTATTTCAACGTTACTAACGCCGTTGTAATCTCACGAATGGTATCCGGGGGTCTGTGTTTGATCTTGGCTGTGGGATTTAGTTATCCAGTGCTCCGGGTATCTTGTCAAACGTTGATCGTTTCTCATCTATTATACATTCCAACATCAACTCATCCATTAATTAAGACATTTTCATTATCGATTTTCCTGTGGGAATTAGTTTGATAGAAAAAATGAATGAGGTGCAGGTAATCTTCACTCAGCGTCTATCCATCATGGCTGCCCCCTTCCACTAGCATTTCACCCTCATCACGTTGATTTCAACCTTCTGACTCACATTCGTGTTTTTTTTACCTCTCGTTCCTCTAATCCCATGAACACGCGGATGCACTCCGGGCTTTTATCCGTGTACATATATAGTAAACCACTCGGTACTTTGGGAAACTGCACATGTGTGAATATGTGGTTACCCACATCAACATAGTCTGAAGTGCTCTTTGGTATTATTATTTAATTAGTCGGGTATGGATTGAGAGATTAAATCCTTTTGTCTTGAGTTTGGGTTCGATGAGGGTTGATTATCCCGGGAAGTGATGGCCGGACAGTCAATCGTTTGATATATGCACCTGATCCGGTAATAGATAACCTTCGGCCAATGTCCAGAAATAACTTTTCATCTTCGTACTCATTCATTCATTCCGATATTCTCTCAATTTTGAGGTTAGACTCAGTGACTATTGATTAATCACCGATCGAAAAAAAAAGGAATGACCTTCGTAAAAAGTTTGACACAGAGCAGATCCGCCAACATTTCATCCGGGGAAATACCTCTGAAATATATATTCATCCCCAATTCCATTCAACTCATTTCGATTCCCATGATGTACAGTCCCTAGCCCCATGAGCTTTTGACGTCCATCACTGGTGTCACGAATTCACCCGATCCCTCTTCCTCTCGCACACATGATCCTACAGGGTCACAATTCAACTCAACATAGGACCAAAGTTATTCCTCGGGACTATGACGAACGGTTTGGACATGGTAATATCGATTTTTACGTCGACGCTTGTTAACGGTGACAAATTTATCTTGTCGCGTAACGCTTGTCTTCTTTCATATGTGACGGCAGGGTCAATGTAGATTAATTTGGATATGTCAAATCTTGTCCTTTATTGATTCTGCCACGTGTTTACGGTGATGAGATGAGGTCAATTATCGGACATATGCTTAGAAGAAGGGGGAGATGCTTTCAATCATTTTATGGGTCAAAGCATTCAATATATTTGATCTATACGTTTTCACCGATTCTATCAATCCTTTCAAGCCATCCAACTTCATTCATTTTCTTCAATCTAGAGCATAAAAATGTAATGTTAAAGAAGAAAAAAATGGGAGCGGAGGGGAGGGCTTGTACAAACGACCTGCTAGCATCTACCTGGCACACTATCGCATCATAGCCCATTCTTCTTCGTTTCTTTTGTATATATCCTTCTCCCTTCTCACTGGTGTTCACCTCGCGTGCATCTTCGCCTCTTCGCCACTTCTCTTTTTGCACCTCCACCCATCCACCCCCATTTCACTGTCTTTTTTATTTTCATCTCTTTTTATTTCCATTATTCTTGGTTGTTTTCTTTCATTTCTCCTCGACCGAGGCAACCTCCTGTTCTTTATCCAACACTGGCAGCGAAGCGTCTTGGAAAACTATGGCAATATCTCTACCTTCTGGCCTAGTATTTATGTACACACCCAGACAAATTACGTAAATTTAAGGTCCAGAAAAGTATCATTAATGCTAGTGGGTATGGTGATGATGAAAAAATATCTTCAAGACTTTATTTCACATTTATGTCTACCGTTTTGTTAATAGGATTTCTTTATTTTTTTATTCGCAGACTTGTGTGTGTAAAAAGTCTTTAAAAATATGGGTGACTAGGGATTTTCAATGTGGAAAATGTCGAAATATACCCCAGCACTGGAGATATTGAATGTTCACATTCCAAATTGAAGCGCAAATTCATGGATATTTGACTTCTCGGTAGGACTTACTGAAATCTTTTGATCGTATTTATAGGTCACAGAAGGTTCATTACTCACTCTCTTATGAACAAGCCTCTTTCCCCTACTTCTATCTCCCATTAATCGACGACTCCCCCATTTCTTTTGTACTCAAATCCCTCAACAGTCAAGACTGATAGATTGCTTATAAGAAAATCCTCAATTCCTACTCATGCAACTTGTGCGCATGAAAAGTCATTAAAAACACATCAAATCCGTAATTTCCAGTCTGGAAAATGTCTGAAAAAACCCTAGGACCTGAAATATTTATTATTCACACCTCAAATTAAAACATGAAACAGAAATTCGCGGAAATTTGACTTTTCACACTCATGAAATCGTTCAGTCAAATTTATGATCGACAGAAGATTGGCTTCTAACCTTTATTTCTCTTTTCCTCAATATTCCCCAACAGTCAAGACTGAAAGATTGCTCATAAAAAATCCTAAATTCCTATTTATGCACTTCTGTATACGAAAAGTCATTAAAAACCCTCAAAACCAGCAATTTCCAATCTGAAAAATATCTGAAAACACCCTAGAACTAGAGATATTAATTATTCACATCACAAATTGAGGCATAAAACATCGAAAATTTGACTTTTCACACATCAACTCATTTAATCAAATTCATAATCGACAGAAGATTGGCTTCTCACCCCACGATAAACAACCCCTTTCCCCCAAAACCTACAACTCCTCCTATTTCCTTTGTCCTGAAAATTCCCCAACAGGCGAGACGCCTCCGGGCGCCATAATTCCCTCCCATCATGTTTCATAAATCAAATTGCGTGGAGCTTCTCCCACACCAAATAAAACACGAAAACCCCTTCGATGCATTCAAGCCCCGCATAAACCAGAATAAATCATCGAAAAATGTATGAATGATTGAAATAATAACGACTAACAAAGTGTCAAGCATAAAAGATTTTGAATATTGAATATATGATAAAGAAAAAAAAACGTGGAAAATCAACTGCATATCGTAGATCATAAGAAATATTTATTTCCTCTGTTTTACACGAATGTTGCTGTTATTTCTATACTTTCGTTTTACCTCGGAGCATTCTCATATAGCTCAAAATAAAAGAATAGGGAGGGGGGTATGAAGAGGAGAATAAAATCACCAAAGAAAAACCCGGAGGGTAGAAGTTTCCTCGGAACAGCTCAGTCAGAGGCAGAAGAAAACGGAAGGTGTGGGGGTGGAGGAGGGGATGAGTAGGACAGGAGCGGGGCGGGGGAGGGGAGGGGGTACCTGTATGTATACAGTGTCTGTTCTGGTGTCCCACGAGAACACCAACTGATTTATTTAGCGTGCGATGCCACCGGCGACAATCACGAGTCCGGAGAGGGTGAAAAGAGTGAAATTTCTTGACTCTTTTTTTTAAGTTCTCTTTTTCTATTCTGGGGAAGGAATGAGGTAATGCTGGTGGATAATGTAGTACGCTGGGACTTTTAATTTCTGGGAGTTGTAAAAGTGTGAAAAGGAGAGAGGATTGATTTTTTTTTTGGAAGATCTGGATTTTTAGTTTTTGGCTGGGGGAATGGTTTTGATTGAACTATTCCACTGTTTGGTGGTGTGTGGATCAAAGTAATCGTTTTTATAATGTGGGGGTGGATTTCAGGGGCCAGTCGATGGGTAGATTTGTATCCCCTCCTCCAATTTTTTGAAACCTTGTATTTTTGCTTCCGGATGGAAGCTTTTAGTCGTCAAATAGAAAACTTCCTGTCTTTTTAATTGTTTAAATGAATCCAATAGTGATTTTAAATATTCTTTTCAAAACAAAATTTATTTTAAAATCAATATTTTGGAAAAGGTAAAAAAAATTAATGTCGGGGCAATGTTGGCTGCCAACGTTGGCGCAATGTTAAATTCACTAAATCATTAAATCTACTGTAAAATACATCGCCCTGGAAATTCCATTCGGAAGCAAATTGCTAATTTATTAGCAAAAATATATCGCCTGTATTGTGACGAGAGCAATTTCCCACTTATTTTTTGTTCTCATGAGCACCATCAAAATAATCATTCAGGAAAGACAATGGTAATGGGTCCTACGAATGAACGGATGTGGCTGTACAAGATTAAATGACTTTATTCACATAATCTAAGGTCTTCTAGGTGTAATTAAATTGTAATAATAATTCATAAGGTGAAAAAAGAAGCTGGGTTAAGATTTAAAAAAAAAAACGCCACGCTAAAATGAAAGTAACGATACATATCGACAATTGCCTGACTAAGGTGAAAGATAAAATTATTAACTAGAGTATTTTAAGGTTATACATTTTTTGTCACCGATGCGTCTCGTATTCGAGGTGTGACATCGCAAAATAAAACATATCATTTTAATGAATATTGAAGTAAATGTTGAAAAATCGTGATCAGAGCCAAAGATATATCTAAAATTGAAAAGTAATGGGGGTGTGATGCCGAGAGGTTTTTAATAAATAATTAATTAGGCGTCATTTTTCATTGAGATATTTAAAATTGAAAGCTTTTGCGATGCTTTAGGTACACTCAGTGTTGAAAAAAAAATTACAAAAATTGTGAATTCTGAATCGTGCAATGTAATTGCCCTTCGTCATTCCTCTTAAGAAATTTAATGATAATTGAATACTTCAGATGAGATCA